GATTCAGAGAGAATAAATGCTTGTTTGGCTTTTGTGTTTTTGTGTTTGAATTTCTGAATGCCCAATAAATGAGGTATTTAACTCTATTTATAGGGTTGGGGAACTGTATCCCCACCAGTAAGGATGTGCCACGTGTCAGCCTGGGATTGGATCCCACTTGCCCTCTCTGGGACTGACACGTGGCACTCTCTGATTGGGCCACGTGGCTAGGGTATTTTTACCCTAATCAAAATTAATGGTCATTTATTAGTGCGCTACAAGATGAAATACGTGTAATTCAAAATAGGCGTGTAATTTCATGACTTACTTGAGGTCGTACCTGTTTGTTGTGTACCACGTTGAGTGTTTCGACGGTTTACATGTTCGAAATAACAAGGATCACGCCTGGTATCATTGTTCCTTTGCTAACCTCGAACATTGTGGTTTACATGTGGTTCTTTAAGGTTTGTATGATCCGGATGTAGCTCCTCTTCAATGATGCGAGATACATTTTGAAGTATAACAGGATCACTACCAATAAACTCATCAACCAGGGAACGAAAATGTGCAGCTTCCTCGGTTGAATCGTTAATGAACACAGGTATATCAACACCATCACCAATAACCAAGGTCTTCCAGAATGGATGAATTTTCCTGATATATTAGCAGACTGTGCAACTAGCAAATCATGTATCTGGCAAGCACAAGGTAAACCATGGGTCACACGCATTGCACATCCACAACACTTATACACCTGGGAACTTAACTCCCTCATCCTTCTCGTCTCATCATCGAGAATTTTCAAACAATGTTGAGACACTTTGCCATTTATACGTGACAGTGGCAATTGTCTGTACTTCTCACCAATTTTCGATATTGATGCCTCCAGACCATTACGAATTGCAATGATCTGATTACCAATATGACAATGTACTCGGGCCCATACGGTAACCAAAGGACCTGTCGTTGATTCAGATTATAAAAAAACATTATGATTTTTAATTAAAATTACTAAAACGAAGTAAAGACAACAACTACAACATTATAACAACGAACCTGTTGATGTTTCAAACCACGTCTTCACTGCCGAATGTTGGCTCTCAACTCGATCTACAATTACTTGTGTTACCAAAGTGAAGAGCTTGGTTTGTCCAAAATGTCACAAATTTGATTTTATGACAAAGCCATGTTCTCTCAACTTAAGTAATCACTACCGGATAACTTGCCCACCGAGCTTTCATTGTATCTACAACAACATTATAATCCGCCTCAATTGTAGCATCCATGATACGTTTCCATTTGCCATTTTTAAAACTCGCACCGATCTTCTTATTTTTGAACATATCAGTCACCCTAGCCTCCACATCTTTGTTAATGTAAATGCGACGTCCCTGGAAACATTTCTCTCAATGCCGCATAGAGGCCAAGCTCACGGTCTGACAAAAATATTGATGGTTCTTTATCATACCCAATCAACTCCCTTAATCTCTGCAACACCCACCGATAGCTTGCCGTGCACTCGTTGCGCATGAACACATAACCAACGAGGAAATTCTGATTTGTCGGTGTTACACCTACGATCTCAAAGACTGGCATCCTGTATCAGTTGGTCTTGTATGTCGAATCCATACCGATTACATGTGGGTATGTGCGTAGTATGTTGACCGTGGTTGGGTGCACCATAAATGCATATTGTAGAGCGCCGAGGTCATCGGCCATGACCCAGTAAATATACTGACTCTATCTCGCCAAATGAAGAAATTGTTGAACAACTCCTCTGCCTTCCGACATCTCCGTTCTCAAGTCATTCCGGCAATTGTAAATGTGTCTGATGTTTGGATGATGATCAGGAAATTGCTCTGCAATAGTTGCCATGATGTTACACGGTGCAACCTTGGACTTTGTCATGTCACGCACAACCTTTTTTGCATCCGGGCTCAAGCCACTAATTTTACGATGACCTTCTTGATACACAATCGTTGGATGGTTATGGGTCCCAGTTGCATCATTTTTTGCACGGATCTTCCAACTATCTTTGATGAATTCATAATATATCTTGATGCAGAAAGGACACATTAGTTTTGGTTTTTGTGTCCTTTCGTATTGTGTTCTCAAAATCTCTCGGCTGGCTCTTCCGTCCCTGATCACATCTCAAATATCGGTACGGTCGACCATCTCTAGTTTTGTTGTAAGACAATTTAACCAAAATATATCCCAGATTTATGGAAACAGCATCCTCCCATTTACCTGCATCATCAAATGTTGGAAATAACATGTCCGTTACAAAATTCACACTATAATTCACACCATCATCACCATCTTTAAACTCCAAATCCTATAAAAATAAAAGAAAACACACAAAATTCTCCAACATTAACTAATATCACAACATTAACTAATATTATCACATTAACTAATATCACAATATTAACTAATATTAACTAATATCACAACATTAACTAATATTAACTAACACTAACATTAACTAATATCACAACATTAACTAATATTAACAATATCACAACATAACTAATATTAACTAACATTAATATTAACTAATATTAACTAATATCACAACATTTACTAATATTAACTAATATCACAACATAACTAATATTAACTAATATCACAACATTAACTAATATTAACTAATAATACTAATATTAATTACTCAAATCATCACAAAAATAATAATAATCACAACAAAAATTATAATAATAATACAAAGATTACATTAATAAATTTGATTAATTGGTTTAAAAAAAAATTGATTAATTAATCAATACAAAAAAAAAAAAAAAAAAAACCCAAAAATTGGACATCCGCCCATAATTTCCGGATCTACCTTGGTGGATCCGGATATTTTAGACGGATGTTTTCATTTCAAAAATTAAAAAAAAAAAGTTCGAGGACTTACAGAATCCTCTTATGATGCCTCCGATGTACGATCGTCGTTGTCGTCCATCGTCCTAAACTCGTCGCTAAAGTTTAATAAAAATTTTTTAAAAACAAGTCGGATTTTTGGGGGTGGGCTCGGGAATTTTGGTTTAGATGTCATGGGGTTGGATGTGACGGGCTCGGGAATTTTTTTTAACCGCGTGTGGTGGATCGAATGTGCTCGGGAATAATATTACAATGCCCATAAGTGTCATAGTGGAGCCTATATAGTCCAAGTTATAGAAAAGGTAATATTGTCCTTTCATGTCAAAATGGGAGCGATCCTTGGTAAATTGTGAGCGACGTTTAGCAGTTCACAAAAAAAAGTAATCCAAAGTTCAATTGTTATACAGGATAATGCATTACTGAACTACTCCGTATTATAACTGTATCGTAATGCTATTAAGATCAGAGAGTTGTCAACTATTTTGTCAAAGTGCTTTGCCCCTTCAATTTTTTCACTTAAAACTTTTAATCTCAGAATGCTTAGTTATAAAGAATATATGTCATCTTGTTTCAATAAATGCATGTCCCCTGTATCTGTGTTCAATCTTTTTAATATTCTAGGATGAGAGAATTCCATAGAATCAAGAAAAACTAGGATAGATGAAATTAACTACATAATAATAAATAAATAAAAAAAGGGTGATGGTCTGATGGTATAACTTGATATAGAGTATGTTAATTTTAGTTATTGTTGAAGGGAGGGGAAATATACAGGTATTTCCTAGGGAGCAAAGAAAATTTTATACAGGATGAAGCATTGGTTCTTGAAGAAAGCATTTCCTTGTTTTATGGTAAAGTTGACTCTATCCGCTACTTCTCAGCTGATGAGCTCAACAACATGAACGTGGAGTTCTGGCATAATAATTGAACTGGTACCAAGGTTCTTGGGAAGGGAGAGCTGTTTTGGTTAAGCTACCTCACCTACCTGAAAGTGTACTTGACAGTCTAATCTCTTCTAATAAGATCTTGTTGAGGCGTTCTCGTGAAATTGTGGTTGCTACACAGATATCAACTCATAATAATGTCCATAAACTACTAGGATGTTGCCTTGAGACTAAATTTCCAGTACTTATTTATGAGTGGGTGGCTGCTGAAACTCTTGAAGATCGTATATTACTCAAAAATAAGAACCAAAGCAAGCTACCTCTATTAGAGTGGAAGGACAGGCCACGGATTGCTTGGGAAATCTCCTATGTTCTTTCATATTTTCATTCAGCTTTTCCAAGGCCTATCATCCACGGGTGCTTGGAACCTCGCAGTGTTTTCTAGAACCAGGACAATACTGCCATACTGTCCAACTTCAGTCTTTCTGTTTCTATTCCCGAGGGTCAAAATTTTGTGGTTGATGATATTGTTAAAGAGACCAGGGATTATGGGGCACCTGAATGTCGAAAACATAGAAATTTCACAGAGTTTACAGATGTATATTCATTTGGTGTGCTTTTTCTTGTGCTCTTGACTAGAAAAGATGCTACCTTTTCATCTACTAGCATTGGAGAAAATGCCAAGTCGACAAGCATAATGGACTGGGAGACCGAAAAATATAGGAATAAGCACATTACTATAATTACTATAAATGGACTGAGATTGTAGATCCTGTAATTACTATAAATGAAGTATCAACCACTGAATTGAGTGCATCTATAGAGCTTGCACTTCGGTGCACATCAGTTGAAGAATGCAGAAGGCCAACCATGGTGGATGTTGCTATCGAGCTTTACAACATGCTCAGGTCCTCTAAATATGTCCCTACCACCAGAAGTGTTGTGTGAATGTCCACACTTTAACCTTTCTCTTGCTCTTTGTTACAGCAATGCCTTTGGTTCATTGTTGTCTCATTTTTCTGTTTGGTGTTCATATTGTTGACAGAGTTGTATTATGCAGATCTGTTTATTACAAGTTTCTTGCAAAACTTTAATGAAAAGATAATTTTTTTATCGATCACTTGTGAAATGGTAAGTCAGTAGACATGTCCCTGTGCTTATTATCCTACTCGCATATGATGTAATGTTTAACTTATCCTGTAAAAAAGTAAGAGTATATCAGCTCAGAAAATTTCATCTGAATGAAAGAAATTCCCCTTAAAAAGGGACTGTAGAAGTATGAACCTTTTAATCACTTTTATCCTCAAAGACGTGTGTTGTATTTGTGTTTAAAAACCAAATTTCCTGAGAAAAATTGAAAAAAGCTCTTCCTTTTCCCCTGCTTTTGCTTTTGAACATTTTCATGCATTATCACTTTGTAAAAGCTAGCAGTAGATGTAGACTTGTGATGACTGAGTGTTTTACGGGTGTTGCTCCACCATTGATTTCTCACTCTTGAGAAAATCAAATGTCTATCAATTCTCATGTTTGATTGAGCAGCAGGTCTTCATGTGGTCAAACAAAAATAGCAGAAGGCGACATCATTGAACAGGAACTATTTTTCTTTACTTTTAGTGTATATTTTCAATTCTCTGAAGTTTCCTATTGTATTAGAGGAATGTTGATGATAGAAGTTGCTTCAATTAATTGCAGAATACATAAAATTGAAAGATTCCAAACATGTCAACATAGACCTGTCATGGACTGATGGTTGACTTGAAGTCAATTGTGCTGATTGCCTGATTATTAACTTTTCACCTAACTTGGATTTTATATTTCTGAAAATATAATTACAAAATTGAATGTTTCTTTCAGTGGTGTGGAAGCTATTTTTCTAAATCATGGATATATAATCTAACAAATACTTGCAGAAGGCCACATCACTGAATCGGTACTCATTTTTCCAATCTCTGATGTTATAGATGATTTTTAGTTAAATAAAATCGAGCTTACGAGATAAGATAGTCCTGTGAAACATCGGTGATAGAAGGAGTTCTAGTTGGCAATAGTAATCACAGATGTATCTAAAGGTATGTAAATATTACTCTCTAGTCTCTACTTCAAAATATTCTAAGTATTGATTAGCTGAAAATGGCCTACCCATTCTTCTTCTTTACCCTTTTTTCTTTTTTTTTTTTTTTTTATAATGAAAAAAAATCTTATTAAGTCAGATTAATGCTTTTCTTTTCCTATGTACATAAAAAAGTCTCACAGGCTAAGATCTATACATTTTTTTTTTTGTTAAAATAGATGCATTTACTTAATTGCCAACAACAATTATAGCATTAGAAATTGTCCCCCATGTGCTGGGATTAATTTCTAGTTTTCTAGAGCTGAATTATTGTTCTAAATTATAAGCTGCAGATTGTATTACTCAGTCTGTAATAGGCGTTATGTCATAAGATTTTAATTATATGCATTCAATAATTAAAACTGACATTTTTGATGCAGAGAGGGGACAAATATTGGATTTTTCAGGGAAGCGAAAAAAATTTAATAAAAAATGGAGCTTGGGTATTAGAAAAAAGCATATCCTTGTTTCATGGAAAAACAAATCCAATCCGCTACTTCTCAACTGATGAGCTCAATCACATGAACGTGGAATATGAATGTAAACATGATAGCATGTACCAAGGCTCTTGGGAGGGGAGAGCAGTACTGGTAAAATTGCTAGAAAATTTGCCTGAGAAGGTATCGTCGGAATACTTCCGTGAAGTGCTTGGTTCACTGACGGGTACGCATGGTAATGATCATAAGGTAGAGTGGCATACAATTGAGTTTCGAATGAGGGGTTCTCAGGGTAATGTTCATCAGCTGATGCTATTCCCACCGCCTGAGGAGAAGGAGGAGGAGGAGGAATTATTGGAGCTCTTGCGTGAAATTGTGGTTGGTTCACAGATGGGTACGCACAGTAATGTTCATAAGCTACTAGGATGTTGCCTCGAAACTGAACTTCCTGTTCTTGTTTATGAGTATATAGAAGATGAAACTCTTGAAGATCGTATCTTACTCATAAACAAGAACCAAAACAAACAACCGTTAGAATGGAAGGATAGGCTAAGGATTGCTTGGGAAATATCTCATGCTATTGCCTATCTTCACACTGCTTTTCCGAGGCCTATCATCCACACACACCTGACGCCTAAAACAGTGTTTTTAGACAACAACATTGCCAAATTGTATAACTTTGGTAGCTCTGTTTCTATTCCTGAGGGTGAAGAATTTGTGAAACTTAATTTAATACATGGGACTTCGGGCTATATGGCACCTGAATTTTCAAACAATTCTCATGTGGCAGAGAGTATAGATGTTTATTCATTTGGTATGCTTTTTCTTATGCTCTTGACTGCGAAAGAAGTTAGTAACAAAACTCATAACTCCATTGGATTAAAGGAATGGGTGCAGGAAGGTATAAAGAACAAGTGCATAAGTGAGATTGTAGATTCTGCAATTACTAGAAATGGAGTGACAGGCATTGAAGAGCTCCAGTTGAGAGCATCTATACACCTTGCACTCTCGTGTGTAGTAAAAGAAGCATATTCTAGGCCAACAATGGTGGAGGTTGCAATTGAGCTCAAGAGCATGATAACATCCCCTGAATCTATCCCTTCCACCAGTACTTTTAAGGTACAACTTTTTAGAATAAAGCCTTTTATTCTTATTGAGTTTTTACCAAAAAAAAAACCATCCCCTTTGTTATATTTTTACTGCAATGATGTATCTCATATGATAATTGATACCTCAGACTACGGATCCTTTGTAATTTTGGTCAATACAGAGGTGGTATTTGTCTTTGGTCAGTATACTGTATACTAATTGCCAAGGAACATAAATATCTATCTGCGCATTCTTGTAAATTTGTTAATCTTTGCTTTTAAAGAGGCATCTATGATCTATGTCTTCCATATTTTTGTGAAATCTTTATGTACTACTCCATCTTACCTTTAATTGAGGAAGTGTTGTGCACAAACAGTTAATTACAATATTGTCTCCTTGATGAAGCCTTTTCATAATGCAAGTATGAGTACAATTAAATAACTGTCAATTATGTTTGATTTATCCAAAGTTTAACCTAAAAAATTGTAAGTTCTTTTTTATCTGTCATATCCAAGACAGACACACACACACACACATATATAAAATAAAAAGAGTAAGCAAGTGTTGCGGAAGTTTTGAGGAAGTGTCGTGCACAAACATCTAATTACAATATACTGTACCTAAATATATGAAACAATTGGTATGACAATTAGAGTTTGTTAATTTCATTGGTTGTTGCAGGGAAGCAATGTACACAGAATTTTCAATGGAAGTGAAGAAAATTTTATGCAGTCTAAAGCATTGGTGCTTCCAGAAAGCTTTTCCTTGTTTCATGATAGGGTCCCTATCCGTTTCTTCTCAGTTCATGAGCTTAACACCATGAACGTGGAATACGATCAGATATTTCGATATTGGTACCAAGGTTCTTGGGAAGGAAGATCTGTTTTGGTAAAGCTGCAAAATGCAGTGACCATTGACTCCAGTGAGACTCAATTGAGAATTTGGCGTGAAATATTGGTGGCTATTCAGACTGCTACTCATAATAATGTCCAAAAATTACTAGGGTGTTGCCTTGAGACCAAATTTCCGGTTCTTGTTTATGAGTGGGTGGCTGCTGAGACTCTTGAGGATCGTATTTCATCCAAAGATGAGAACCAGAAAATGTTGCCACCATTAGCGTGGAAGGACAGGCTAAGGATAGCATGGGAGATATCACATACTGTTTCCTATTTTCACACAGGTCCTCGGCCCATCATCCATGGAAACTTGAAGCCTGAAAATATTTTTTTGGACCAAGATGGCTCTGTCAAACTGTCCAATTTTAATCATTATATTTGTAATGTTGAGGGTGATGAATTTGGGGTAAAAGATCATAGAATAGAGACTATCAGTGGTTTGATGATTCCTGAATATTTTGAAGGTTACTCAGTGGCAGAGTGTGCAGATGTGTATTCTTTTGGCTTGCTTTTACTTGTACTCTTAACAGGCAAGGATAATGCTTCTTTTCCGTCTACTACCACAACACAGCAAAAATCGACTAATCTAATTCACTGGGTAATCAAAGCAGTCAGAATGGAGCGCATTAGTGAGATTATAGATCCTGCAATCAATATAAATGAAGTGACAACCATTGAATTGAGGGCATCTATAGATCTTGCACTCAGGTGCACAACAAGTCTGGCAGACTGTAGGCCAACTATGGCTGATGTTGCAACTGAGCTCAAATGCATGATTTGTTCTCATGAGTCTATCCCTTGTGCAATAAGCTTTCAGGTATGACTTTTAAGACAAGGGGTGCTTGTATCCTCTTTCATCATTAAAGCATATCTGTTGATCTTGCTGCTTTTTGTTTGATACTTTAATCAAGGAATTATCCTTAATAATCATCTCTCAGGGTTTTAATTTCATAATTTATTTTTATTTTATATAAATTTCCTAATAACAGTTCCTACAATCTTCCAACAGAGGCAATGATTTTAATTAGAATTTACGACATTCCTATGAAATTTGTTTGTCATCCTTTGTTTTTAGTTCTACTATAAAAACCTCCATACGGAGTAGGGTGATATAATTGTTTTTGTTAATTTCATTTTATGTTGCAGGAAAAGGACATATACAGGAGTTTTCGTGGAAGCAAAGAATATTTTATGCAATATGAAGCATTGTTACTAGAAATAAACATTTCCTTGTTTCATGATAGAGCCAACCCAATCCGTTACTTCTCAGTTAATGAGCTTAATGACATGAATATTGAATATTATAGTGTTTTTCAGGAGGATGGTGTCTTTAAATGGTATCAAGGTTCTTGGGTGGGAAGAGTTGTTTGGATAAAGCTGCCAAGAAGATTGTTTGACATGGAGAGCCTTGCGCTCTCTGACAATATCCGACTGAGCCTTCTGCATGAAGTTGTGATTGCTACACAAGTAGCTACTCATAATAATGTCCATAAACTACTAGGATGTTGCCTTGAGACTAAAGTTCCTGTTCTTGTTTATGAGTGTATGGAAGCTGACAAAACTCTTGAAAATCGTATATTATTCAAAGATGATTACCAAAACAAACATCTGCCATTGGAGTGGAATGACAGGCTAAGAATTGCACTGGAATTATCTCAGGTTGTTTCTCATCTTCACAAATCTTTCCGCAGGCCTATCATCCACGGGTTATTGAGACCTTGTAGTGTTTTCTTGGACCAGGACAATGCTGTCAAATTGTCCAACTTTAGCTCTTCTGTTTCTATTCCTGAGGGTAAAAACTTTGTGCAAAATACAATTAATAATAGCTTTTATATGGAACCTGAATATTATGAAAACAGAGAAGTGGGCGAGTGTACAGATGTCTATTCATTTGGCATCCTTTTTCTAGTGCTCTTGACAGGGAAGTCTGCTGATTTTAGCTCGGCAGAGGGACACATCAGGTCGACAAAGTTAGTTGACTGGGTAACTGAAAAAGTCAGAAAGATGTGCGTTAGTAAGATTGTAGATCCTGCAATCGCTGAGACCGGAATGTACACCACTGAAATGACTGCATCTATAAAACTTGCCCTCAGGTGCACAACCAAAAGAGACAAAAGGCCAACCATGGTGGATGTTGCTACTGAACTTGAGAAAATCAGATCCTCTGATCTTCCAAACAGTTTCTCTCGACTACGGGGTTGCTTTACTTCTTAGTTCATCTACTCCAATTTCTCATGCTTTATGTTTGTGTTGATCAATGCTTTAAGTTGTAGTTGAATAAAGATTTTTATCAATTAGAAGAGTGCCTATAAGTTTGTACTATTTATTCAATCTCTTCATTATTTGTCACATTCAGCCTTTAGTACTAGTATATACATTCTGCACATTTTCAGAAGTTTATTATAAACCTGGATTAAATTTTGGAAGGTGTTGCATTTTATTCCTAATTTATTTTTTCTTTTCTAGGAAAGGACATTAAATCAATGAGAACTATCAATTACAAAAATAACGCCGGAAGCATCACATGGACTTGAAACCTTCTAATGTGTTCTTGGACCAACAATATGCTGCCAAATTAGGTGACTTTAGTCTTTCTATATCTATTCCCCAGGGTTAAGAATTTGTTGAACAAGGTGACGTAAGAGGGAATTTTGGCTATATTGATCCTGAATATTTTAAAAGTAATAAAGTAGCTAAGAGTACGGATGTGTATTCGTTTGGTATGCTTCTTTATTTGCTCTTGACAGGAAAGAGGCTTATCAATCATAGGGGAAGAACGTGACAACTACAACTTTACTTTTAATATAAATTCTCGTGTACAGAAAAGCATAAAAAACAACCGTGTCAATGAGATTGTAGATCCTGCAATTACTAGAAACGGAGTGGCAAGTTCTGAGGACCTCCAGCTGAGAGCATCTGCACATCTTGCACTCAGGTGCATCGCATTAGAAGCAGACTATAGGCCAACAATGGTGGAGGTTGCAACTAACAGAGCTTAAGAACATGATTACATCCCCTGAATATGTAATTATGACTTTTATCATATGCTTGCTTTATCCTCGTTCAGCTTTAAGCTTTATAGTACTCCATATCTTTATATTATAAAGAGAATAGGTGTTTTGGTTGGGAAATTTTAAATGGATTATTTTACCCTCTTCAAATAATTTATTATTACTATTAAAATACGTAGTATTAAAATTTACTTAAGTCTAACCTTAAAAAAATAATTTCCATTTTTAAGTGCTTCATATATTTTGTAAGGTACCATCTCTTCTCCCGGTAGTTATGTACTTATGTTAGACTTTTTATTTTTTATTTTCTAATTTTGATAGATGTTAGACTGTAGTTTTTTGTGGTGTAATGTGATGAGTGATTGACTTTTCACACAAGTATAACACAAATACACAACTAATTATAACATAAAGTATAGAGTAATAGATTATGTTTAGTGTTTAGAGAGCCACACAAGGGCGAGTGATGAGAATCGATCCCAGGATCATTTGGCATCGGAAGGAGAACTCTAACCACTTGAGCTATTCCTCACTCTCAAGTAATAGATTATGTCAATATGTCATTTAAGCAAATAAGTATATAGATAACTTTACGAAGTATAAAGAAATGTGTAAGTAAATTTGGAGGGGGTAGTCGTGCACGCATTGTGTGCGCCTCTAAAATTGTACAAGTATATATTATTACAACTCTATGGCAAGGCATGCAATCCCGTCACGTGTCGCCATTGCTTATGTGGCATCATGTCGTACTACAATATTCCATGGAAGTGAAGAATATTTTATGCAAAATAGAGCATTGGTTCATAAAGAAAGCTTTTCCTTGTTTCATGGTAATGTACACACTATTCGCTTCTTCTCAGTCCATGAGCTCAACAACATGAATGTGGAATTTGATCAGGTTTTCCAGTACTGTTACCGAGGTACTTGGGAGGGGAAAGCTGTTTTGGTAAGGCTGTCAACTTCTTTAGCCGAGATCAGGAGTTTCCGTGAAATTGTGGTTGCCACAAAGATGGTTACTCATAATAATGTTCATAAATTGCTAGGGTGTTGCCTTGAGACTAAACTTCCTATACTTGTTTATGAGTGGGTGGCAGCCGAAACTCTAGAAGACCGTATTTTACTTCAAGATGAAAACCACCGCAAACTACCCCCCTTAATTAGAGTGGAAGGATAGGCTAAGAATTGCATGGGAGATATCAGATGTTGTTTCCTATCTTCACACAGCTTTTCCCAAGCCCATCATCCATGGATCTTTGGAGCTTAATAATGTTTTTTTGGATCAAGACAACACTGCTAAATTGTCCAACTTCAATCATCATAATTGCAAAGCACCGGCAGAGTGTACAGAAGATGTGTATTCATTTGGCGTGCTTATTCTTGTGCTGTTAACAGGAAAGAACAAAGAGGCTAATTTAGTTGACAGCAAAACAAAAACAAAAATAGAGTGCCAACCACTGAACTGAGGGCATCTATAGAGCTTGCACTCAGATGCACAAATAGTCTTCTAAATTCTAGGCCAACCATGGTGGAGATTGCAATTGAGCTCAACAACATCATTAGATCCCATGAATCTATCCCTAGTACAAGTACTTCTCAGGTATGACTTTCAAGACGAGTGCTTTTATCCTGATCTGACATTTATGAATTTGAGATGTTCCGTAGTTGTTGAGACATGTCTTGTTCATCATGCTGCTTTGTATTTGATTGATCTAATTTTCTTGAATCAGTTAACTTTTAATTAGTTTGTCTAATAAAAACTGTATATACAATCTTCCATATGGTAAAAATTTTGCAAAGTTTTGGGATACGTTGATACTCCTTATACGAAGTATATTTTTTGCTTAAACCATGAGCTGAGTCTCCTACACAGAATTGTCTCGTTTGCACCACCTTCGGATCCTTGGTAATTTCAATTTCTATTATCATACAGAGGTAGCTTTTGCCTTTACTACTCCCCAAATTCCCTTGTTATTGCTTTCATCTCCTTCTTGTTATTAACCTATACTTCTTCCTCTATGTTATTTAGAAATTTGCTTATGATTCTTAACACTTATTGACAAAATAGTGTGTCTTGTACAATGTTGGATCTTTATCTCCATCTCCATGAGAGATTAACTTAAATTTATTCATGAAGGGCTTCATACTCATAACTCATTAAATGTATTATGTTATTCAATAGACTCAAAGTTGTGGTGTTTTCATTATTTGTTGACAAGATTTTTGCCTTGTTGTTGCTGCCCTCAAACAAGTGCATTTATAGCTAAATGCACAAAGTTTGCTAAGCTTAAAGAATACAAGGTTTAATAGATTTGGATAATGACTGAACTAATATGAATGGATGGTAATAATATAAGTGCCAATAAATAGCCCCAAAATGAAAGAGAGGCATAAACTATTTTCCACACAGAATTCATATTTATGTTTTTGAATTTGAATCGGAATGAAAACTCTTTTAAACCAAGTATCTTATTTGCTTTCATTAGTTGAGGCTGAAAGATAATTTACAACACCCGATAGCTCATACAAAAATAACACATTCAATAATTATTACATATACCAGCTTTTTATTTCAATCAGCGGATTAAAATAAAAACAAACAAATAAAGAACTGTAAAATGATTTTTATAAGATTATTGACTGTCCTGTTAAATCCATTACTATATTCCAGTAGACTAAGGACTTGGTTCTGAATAACGTCATTGCCTTGTGAATTATGATGGTTGGCTTGAACTAAATCTCATCTAATTTGATTTGTCATGTCCACATTTCTCATTTCTACAGAGTGATGAGATAGAAATTGGATGTTTCTTTCGACTTGGATGTTTCCTACAGGAAGGAGATATCTTAAAATCCGAAGTCAATCATAATTTTCCCGCGATGACTTGGTTGAAAAGGTACGATAGATATTTCATTTTCATTTATGTCTTGGATGTCCTTTAACTTGTGGATGTATCTGAAATCTTCATTATATATTTAGTTTTTTTCAGTTGATTTCCTAAGTAGTGTAAAGACTTGGTCTGATCATTTACTCTATCATGGTCTCTTGTTCTGTGTCTTGCCGCGGTATATTTCTTGAACCAATGTATTAATTAAGACAGACAACTATGCAATCAGAGAAGAAAGAAACCACAGGATCAAAGGGTATGAAACTCCATATTCATTTACTTTTTTTAATGATTGGACCAGATGATATCTGATAATTCAACTGGTTGATGCAGAGAACAGACAAATACAAAATTTTCCAAGGGAGTGATTAAAATTTTATACGAAATGGAGCACAAGTACTAGAAGAAAGTATTTCCTTGTTTGATGGTAAGGCCAACCCTGTCCGGTACTTCTCAGTTGATAACAACATGATTGTGGAACATGATCGGATTTTTGTTAGTAGCTGCTTTTATCTGTGCAAGGGCTTTTGGAAGGGGAGAGTTGTATTGGTAAAGCTGCAGAATAGTGATAATGAGGACACTAAATTAGGGTTTTTACGCGAAATTGCAGTTGTTGCACAGATGGTTACTCATTATAATGTGCACAAAAGATTAGGATGTTGCCGGGAGACCACATCTCCTGTAATTGTGTATGAATGGGTGGCCGTTTTTTTTTTTTTTTTTTTTTTTTTTTTTTTTTTTGCTGTTGTTGTAATTTACAATCAATGGTTTAAACTGCAAAATGGGTACTTTTACGGGTTATAATTGACAAAATTTGGTCGTACTTTGTACTTGTATTTAAAGTTAATGCAAAGTCCTATAGATATTTCAAACCAAAACACCTTGGAATCTAGGACATAAGATTGCACGATACATCCATGATCCATTGACACAATATCAGTGCAATTACAATCGCAGCAGTTTCTTCTTCCATGATTTTCTTCTCCAATTGAAATTCTCCAGTACCTTTAACCATTTCCATTTTAAGGATGTTTCTGTTGTTTCGTTATCTTTTTTGTCCGTTGTGGTTTGTTTATAAGGTCGATTTAAATATTGATTCGGTTTGGAAGGTCGACAATTTTACATACTATCTTTATAAAATACAAAATTGCTGCATGATTGTATCTCTTCACTCTTCAGTTGATGATTTCATCGATTCCTTTCTTGGTGATCTGATGCTTTGGTTTATGATTTCATATGCATGATGTATAAATGATTGTGTTTGGAATTTTGCATATAACCCACCTTTTAAATCTTATTTTTTTTGGTAAAAAACCACCTTGGGGATTCTTTGCTTGGTGATGTGGTGTGCTAAACAAGGAACAGGACAACCCTTTGTTTGTTGACTCTTGGGGAGTTGAATTTTGGAACTCTTATTCCTTAGGAGTGGATGTAATGGATAAGAGTGGTGGTGATAGAGAAAGAGGGGGGTGGGGGAGATGAGAGAAGAGGGAAAGATAGTGATGTAGTTGAAGAAGTGAGTGAAAGAAACCAGTGAGAATCATGAGGAAATAACACAAGGCTTCCTATAATGTTTGAACTAAGATTTAAGGAGCAAAAGGGCAGAGAGGAGGGCGTTGATGGAGGGAAAGAGAGTGGAGTACAGCTTGGAAATGCATAAAGAGGAAGAAGAAGAGAAGGGTAAAATCGGTGAGGGATGGAAGGAAGGAGGGAGATAGTGAAAGGAGGGGGTGATATACAAACAGAAATGTAAGATTTGAAAATGCTCTGCTTTGTTGATTTTCAGGGTGAAAGAGGAGGAGATCGAGAAGAATATGGAGGTGAGTGAGTGAGTTCAAGCTCAACTCGCCCGAGTTCAGGAGGAGACCAAACACTTCTTTCCAGGTAGCTCTTCTCATACTTGGGCTGCGTCTGTTCTTCAATTTAGGAACAGGGATGAAACTTTAATTTTTCAAGAGTAATTCCCCCTTTCACTTGGATTTTCATTTTCAACAATTTTTTAGGTGATTATTTGGTGTTTGATATTGATGAGGTATTATTTTATTGGAAGTTATTACCTTTTGCTAAATTTTTCATATCATTTTCTCTTTATAAGCATTTCTCAAACCAATAATGATTTTGCCCAACAAAAATAAAGGACGGTTGTAGGTTGTGGTTAAAAAAATTATGTAAGCAAAATTATTGATGGTTGGAGAAATGCTTAAGAGAAAATGATATGAAAAATTTAGCAAAACTATATCAAATTCTACAGATTCAATACAAACTTCTTGATTATATAATTATCCTCATCAACTTTATAATTCTTGATTATATCAAACAGTTGTAGGCTGTGGTTAAGAACAATTAAATAAACATGAAATTTGTATCAAAACCATCAAATATGAAAATTCAAAGCAAGAATATCCAAAATTATAGAGCCATTTGAAATTTTGAATTCTAAATGAATTCCAAGCAAAGAATTACATAATCATTTTTATCTCCAACTAATTAAAACTCAATTCTAAATAGGGTAAAGATGGTTACTTACAATACTCCTTCAACATTATTCCAATGCGAAATTTGAAACAATGCCTTAAACAACCTTATGTTACGATCGATATCATCAGGCTCGTCCCTGAGGAAGGGCAGGAGGGGCGGCAGCCCTAGGGAAAAGAGCTCTGATTTCATAGTTGAATGCTAACATTAAAGTGTTGTGCAATACATTAGCAGCCAAATTTGATTCAATTATCTCATAATTTTAGGGATATTTGATTCAATTATCTCATAATTTTAGGGATATTTGATATGATGATAACAAATACAAACAACTTACCTCAGAAGCTGCTTCAATGGGGATACAAGAACTAGATTCAACGGAGAACGGCAATTGCGCTTCAGTGGAGAACGTTGAATGCGCTTCAATAGAGCAATTCAATGGGTTGGACGCCTTGGATCCCTATTAAAAGCCATGATCCATGACCCGCCACAGTTATTAATGGGTTAGATCCGTCTAATAAATAAATGGGTTGAGTCTTTATACGATCGTCCAATTAAGGGGTTGGGCAGACCTTTTAAGGGTTTAGAGTAAGTATTAGTTTATCTTTACACTTCCATTTCTCAAATACTATCTTCACACACCAAAGCTTGTATAATTTGTTTGTAAGTTTTTTTTTTTTTTTTAAATTTTGAAAACGGCTGAAATTACATTAATTAAACTGAGTTTACAACAAACGAAAGGAAAGTATGGTAACATAAGTCAATTACAAGTTATCATGTCTTAAATGTGGTTAGGATGAGTTTTCCTAAAAAAAATGTGGTTAGGATGACTCTTTTGTCGTGGCCATTATGGCAAATTAATTGTGTCATGTGAAGTGTGAACTATGCAATCGTATAGGTAGTGTTACCTTTGCGGTTTTAACATTAGCTGACGGTCACCTACATTTTATTATAAATACAGTTGCAGACTAGCAAGTGTAGATATGTATGAGTTAGTTAATTGTATGAGTTAGTTAGTGATCTGTGTAAAACAGAAAATTATTAGTGAATAACTTTGTAAGTGACAATTTTAATACTTTTTTTTTTTTTTTGAAAAAAAACCCATCTAGATCAACCGAAGAAATTTCCAAAATGCGATGAGGTATTACATCACTTCACACCCATTGGCCAAACTCCCATGATTGAAAGTAAGTTAATTTGTGTGCTACATTATTACCCCATTGCTTTACAAAAGACCATGAATCACTAGTAAAATTAGACGAAAAAAAAAATCTAGAATATCCTTTATAATCAGATGAAAGGAACTGGAGCCATACAAACGCTTCTTCATTGCCTCAATCACCACCATATTATCACTCTCGATCCCAATGCAGCTCATACCCTTGTGTCTCGCAATCTTCATGCCCCAAAATACCGCTTTCACCTCTGCAATCTTAGTCTCTCATTTTTCACTCCACTACACTGTAGCTCCCCAAAGCACCACCCCCTCACTATTCCTGCAGATTGCACCCAACACCGTCCCCACCTCCCCCAAAACACCAGCATCAACAATAATTTTAACCACACCAAATGCCGGAGGAGACCTGCCCACAGAGACACTCTTTCCACCCCTCCATTCCCCATGTTATTCAACTTTCCCACCTTTAATCTTCAAAGCATAGGCAACAATTTGCTCAACATTCGAATTTTCACCCTTAATCATCCATTTGTTCCTTGTGCCTCACATAGCCCAACACATGGTAATTAAACTCACCATATCCTCTCCAAAATTACCAAAACAATGTTCCCACCAGTCACCCATACTACAAAGAGAGTGAGACAAAACCATAGAATAATTGCACTTACTCCAAAATCCATTCTTCTTCTCTCTGGAAAACACCACAAGCTAGTAGCCAGGGCGCAAATTAGCTACAAAAAAATTAGCTTTAAAATCTTATGTGGCCAAAAAAACTAATTTGCTAATTAGCTTACCATTGGAGTTACTCTAATACTCTATCTGTTCCTTTTATTAGATACATTTTGACTTTACACCCGAGTGTCCCAATGATATGTTCGTTTTATATAGTGATTTACCCCCGTCCCTTGGTCATTTTTAGGAGTATTATTGGCTCTACGGAGTCACTTTTATTACTAATATGCGTTTTCTAGTGTTTTCGTAGTTTTCGTACTATTTTATAGGAAATTGCAGATTTGGAGAATTTTCCCGGACTTATGATAAGCCACTACGAGCATTGGAGAATTATAACCGTATTTCATAACACAAGACCGGTTGGAGTCATCAAATCGGTGATTAAGGTCCCGGCGTAGAAGAGATCGAGGCAATGGACCAAGTATTCGAGATCCAAGAGGAAATTCGGAATTGGGCCAAGAGAAATAGCCCACAAATGAAAAGGTTCAATTTGCCCGAACACTCGCCCGACCGGGCAAGCCCTCGCCCTGAGGCGCGCCCGGCCGGGCGAGACATATAGAAGAAAAGGAAGCCTTCGCCCTGAGTCGCGCCCGACCGGGCACGTGTTTCTGAGGAGTTTAATGATTTAACTTGTTTTATCTTTTTAGCCTAAGTATAAATATGTTTTGTTTTAGGAAGTTAAAGACGTTTTTTACACTCTTTACTTAATTTTTGAATTTAGTTTAAGCTTTTGTTAATACTCTTACTTTCTCTCCCTACACTCTTGAGATTTATACAATTCATCATTTCCACTTATTTTGGTAACGATTTCTTCCTTTTTATTTTCAGTAATTTTATTGCTTATATTAATTATGTCTTGCTTAATTGCTTTGATTAGTTTAGATTTAATTATGTGTGAGTAGTTTAATTCTAGGGTTATGGGGATCCATAAATAATATGAAGGGGTATTTTATTATTGTTGATTGTCAATGCTTGATTGATTTCCTATTGATTGATTTAATGCTATGCAATTAGATTAGGCCTGGTTTAATTATATGAGTTATGCAATATTGATTCGAGATTCGAGAGATGAGAATTGATGTTTAGGCTTAGTTTCAATAGGCAGGTTAATTTATAAATGGTTAAGTCAAGATTTGAGAGATGCGATTTAATACCGGTAGATTAATTCTGTGATTGTAATACGTAGCGAAAGCCCTTTATAATCTGATCAATTGATGCATTGGTAATTGATTGTTGTGTTTTACCCTGGAATATTATTTATTGGTGAACCTATACCCTAGGCCTTTTATTATTGATCTCCTCCCTTAGTTTAATTATTTTCCATTAGTTTAATTCTCATTAAAAACAATTTGGTTACTTGATAATTTAGATTATATTAATTGATTAGGAATAGAAAGACTTGTTTCCCTGTGGATTCGACCCTACTTCCCTATCTATTTTAGTTAGTGGTTTTAGGAATTACTTTTGATTAGCTAATACGACTTTAGCCTATCACCCAACCAGTCCAGCGAACACCCACCCAAACCCTAATTCTAACTCTCGAACCCCTCTTATTTGGCGAACTCCAACCCAAACCCCAACCCTTACTCTCTAACCACAATTATGTGGCAAACTCTCACCTAGCCCTAACCTAGCCGATCGATCGAACCCACACAACTCCCACCCACCCTAGTCGGCACGAACCTATGACCACCCATCCCTCCACACCAAACCCGACACCCCAATCTTTTTAAAAAATTATTTATTATAGTTAAAATTAAAAATAATTTTTATATTTAAAATTAATATTAAGATATATTTTGTTTTTAATTAAGTCAATTCTTATTTAATTGAGAATTAATTATAGTATAAGTCAATTGATGACTTGTTTGATCGGTCACAAGTAAATCTAGTACTTAAATTATTTATGGAATATAGACATCAATGTTATACTTATTTTTAATTCATTAAAGTTGACTTAATATTGAAAAATCACCTAAAGTTCGACTTATTGCGGTTATATTTTTAATTACTTTTTTATATTAGACTTACCTTTTACTAATTATCAGTATATACATTTCTATTTTACACAAATATTTTCTATACGAGAATGACAAAAAAAGCAAAAAAAAGAAGGGTGCATTATCTCACCAAGAATCAACACGAAGTTTTTTAGTGTCATTAAGTATATAGTTATTGAAATATATACTTATGGATTATTGATTGGTTATTATTTATTGATGATTACTATTTATTTATTCAAGTAAATATAAAAATATGATATTTAATTATATTTTTTTTTCTAACGGATAAATCACAAAAGAAGATCAAGAAAAAGTGTGAATGAAAATGTCCAAATGGTGCAATTAAAAAAAGAGAGAAAATATTTAACAAATTATATAAAATTATTTACGAATTAACAAATTACATGACTATTTAACAATTATATAAATTAATGATTTTTTTAATTATCATTTTTCCTGATTTTTTTAATTATCATTTTTCCCTGAGCCTCCAAAATGTCAAAAACGGCTCTGCTTCCGATCCCTACAATTTTCGTTATTTATTTCAGAGGAGATCATATCGAAGACCAACAGTTAAAAGTATGCTATTTTAATTAAATTCCTTAACCTATCCTAAATTGATAAATATACGAAGTATGATAGGTACTTCGTATTTAATTTCCTGTCATTGCCAATTTACTGTATTCCACATTATGAATTTAGAGATGATTGAAGATGATGAGGATCAAGAGAATGTGTGCAAATATCCATTTTATATGCTGATAAAGCAGAGAGTTTACCTCAATTTTACATGCGATGGCCAAAGAAAGAAACAGCTAGCATTTCTCCACTTTCCAAGATTATCTGTGCACAAGGCTATGGATTATGTAAAGGATAACATAACCCCTGGCTGGAAGAAAGAATATTCAGTTAAAGTACCTTTTTGTTTTCCGACATGCTAAAATTAAAGGAATCCCTTTAGACAAATTTTACAATGAAGATGGGTCAAACAAGAATTGGAGATGCAAACAAAGAGTTTTTTTTGAAGAAGTGGGATTTTATTTACTGTGAGAGGGATCCAATTACACTTAAAATGACTGAGGAGGAGACAAGAAAAGTTGAGAAATGGATAATTAAGAGATATATGGCAGATGGTCCTATTGTTGGTGTACTGATAATCGACAATTTTAAAAGGATTTTTACTGACTTAGGTTTCAGCTATGAAAGATACAAGGTAGTAAATAAGAAAGGAGAGGACGGAAACAGTGGTGGGCCCTACTAACGAATTCTTGGATGAATTCATTAGTTGGTGGTGAAAACCAATTTCCAATTTTTTTTCTAATAAATAAATCACAAAAGAAGATCAAAAGAGAAGTGTGAATGAGATTGTCCAAATGGTGCAATTAAAAAAGGAGAGAAAGTATTTAACAAATTATATAAAATTATTTACGAATTAACAAATTACATGAATTTTTAACAATTATATAAATAAATGATTTGTTTAAATATCATTTTGCCCTGAGCCTCTAAAATGTCAAAAACGGCTCTGGATATCATAACCAGTTGTAACCAAGTTAATGAAAGCACCAAATTCTCTCAAATCTTTATCAATTTCAGCTACATCACCTACAAGGGCTACAACTAAAACATAAAATAGTTTTAATTCCATTTGCTTAAAGATTTGATCTTTATATAAAAAGAAAAAAAAAATTTAAAGAAAAACGTCAAAGAGCATGAAAAAAGTATTCTGGACATATAGCTTACTACAAGCAAAACCCAATGGTTTTTGTTGTTGTTGATGGCATTCAATAAGACTCTTGGCAATTTCTCTAGCCAATTGCATTAAAATTGGCCCAGCGGTAATGATTTTTCCCATATCATCTAATCTCCATAAATTACTTTGTGTTTGTCCCACAACCCAATCCCTTAATCAAAGCCCAATATAATGACCCACACACAATATCCCTTTGTTTTACAGGAAACCAACTAACGACGGAAGTCGTTTACATTTTTGTCTTTCATTCTTAGCAATGCCTCCTCCCTATCCATCATTTTACAACTCATTTTTATAACTTCTGTTCCTTTTCGGTGTTCTAAATGTATATTACAAACTGCAATACCATTTTCATCCATCTCTTCTATTTGATGAGGAAAATAAAATGTATATTTCTTTTTCTTAACAAATCTGACCTGCACAAAGTATGTTCAACATCGATCACAACACCGCTGAATGTCGGGCACTGATCCATTCAGCCATATTAAAGGTCTTTTCTGTTACTTTGAAATAAAACACTCCAATTAATTTCAAAGAAAAAAAAATTCAGAAAATCAATATTATCAATTCCTAAAAAAATCAGAAACCCTAACTCCCTAATTTGATAAATTAAACAAAAAATCATCAATTTCAAACAACATACACACAAATTTGATAGATTAAATACTATAAATAACTAATTTAAGCTTAAAATCAACCCAACAACTCATACATAATAAGATATTAAAAACTTGAAAATCATATTTAAGTATGAAAATATGAAAATAATTTAGCTGGAGTGCGGTGGCTAGAGATTGGAGTAGTGGAGGGCGGACGTGCGGCAACAATGGCTAGCAAAAGGCAGTGAACGGGCCGATTTTATCGAAGAGAGAGAACTCAGAGAAGTGTTTCATTTGGCTGTTTGCTTGCTTTTTTTTTTCTTCTCTTTCCCGTTAGAGCACTTCCACCAGTGAGGGAAAAACCCCTCACGAGTGGAAATAAGAGTGTAAAAGAAAAAACCAAGCTTTACATCAGTGAGAGGAAAAATCCCCAAAGTTGAGAGCTTTTGTTTCCGCGCAACTATTGAGAGGAACTTGATGATGAACAGTAAAAGGCATGGGCTCCACTGCATCAGCATTTTTCCCTTTTTTTAATTTTTGTTGTTTAAAAAAAATAATTTAAACTCTACTGGAAGCCTGGCAGGGCGCGCGTCAGGCTGGCCAATTTGCTGGCGACACGCGTCCCTGCCAGGAAAAGGGACCAATGAGATTTTTTCTCATTTTTGCAACGGCAATATTATTTCAAACGGTAATATTACCGTTTAAACTTTAAAAAAAAAATATCACCAACGGTCATAAAAAAATTTTCTCTATAAATAAACATCCATTTTCATATTTTTTGATATACTTTCA